GTCCTCCCCAACCTGAGGTCTGAAGGCGATCCCCTCGAGTCCGGCTTCTATCACAGCAGGGAAGTCCCGGTCCCTGCACAAGAAAACAGAGGTGAAGAATTGGTTAAAGAGGTCTGCTTTCTCCTCTGACGCAACCACCAGATTGCCCAGCGTATCCTGCAGGTGTCCCACATTACCCGGCACCTTCTTCATCCTCCCATAGTTTAGCCAAAAAAATCTAGTCTCTTGTTCTGCCTTCTATTGTTCCTTCCTGTTGGGATAGCAAGTCCCCCTGCCTTTAATAGTCTATACGGTGCAAATCTACCCTGTCTTATTTAAGGCACATCCGGCTTGCCTGGACTCATTTTGGACTTGTCTCCTATAGGATCCTGTCTGTTACATCTATGAGATTGTTAAAAGTCTGGTTTTCTAAAATCCAGTGATTTTTTTTTTATCCTGATCTTCTTTTGTCCTTTCCTTAGGACCATGAAGTACTGTAAGTCATTTCATGATCACTCTCACCCATGTTCCCTTCTACCTCCAGATTTTCCACCAATTCCTTCCTATTAATTAGCATGAAGCAAATCAACAAAAGCCTTCCCTTTCTCACCCAAACTGGGTTGGTTTCTCTAGCATTTGTACCAAAAGGAGTTGGGGAGAGTGTTATGTCAGACATACACACGCACACACAAACACAATTTCAGGTTATTGTTTCCAGATGTATCCGTCTGTATCCTGTCAAGGAAATTCTCATTTAATTTCCTGCTGATATTTCTAATTTCTTTAGGTCCTTCAGCTTCCAATTTAAAATCATTTCAGATTTAATTAGTGTGCCATTTACCCCTCTCCCAGATCATTAATGATGATGATAAATAAGATTGGACCTATTACCATTCCCTGGGGCACCTCTCTTCCTTTTAATGAATGAGCTTTACATAGGTGAAACTTTTAGTTTGAAGCTTGAAATATAATGAATTTTAAATGTAACATTCATTTTATTTTATTTTGGCAGTTGCTAATTATTGATGGGCAGCAGCTGAGAACTGACCCAGCTACTGTGATGGATGAAGTACAGAAGTTTCTGGGAGTCTCTCCTCATTATAATTACTCTGAAGCTCTAACGTGAGTTAATTTTGATAATTTATATAATTCAGTATAAATAATGTAGTAATTTAAAAGTAAATAGTAGTGTAATTGTGTTTTTATGTATTTAACTTTCTGCTTCAATGTAGTATATATGAATAGAGAGAAAGTGAGAGACAGAAAGAGAGAAAAACTAGAGTATATCATAAAAAAAAATAGCTCTCCATCTCCAAATATTAACAAAAAAAGGACGGGGCTAGAAATAGACTTTAATTGGTTCATTATAAATGTGGAAATTTGTAATAAGATAAAGAATGTCTAGATTTGCTATAATTATTGGCAGTAAACATTTTGGGAAAATGTTCAGGGCTTCAGGCTGATCTCTGTTGTTTAGAGATTCTAGTGCATATATGCAGCAGGGTAAATTAACCCACCTCTGCCTACTACAAGGTTCTTACACCTTCTTTAGAAGCATTTGCTACCTGTCACAATCGGAAATAGTTTGTTGGACTAGATGGGTCCAGATGGGTCCAGCTGGACTAGATGCATCTGCTCCATTTTGGTGGTTCCTATATTCCTAAAAAGAATAGGCTTAATTTTGTGGGGAACTGAATGGTTTTTAGAGGGTGTTTATATATTCTGTGTGGTAGCTGGGAGTGCACAGCACCTTTCAGAAGTCCCTTGTTATCTTGTAGGATCAAGTCCAATGATGGAATATCTGTCAGCTGCAGTCAATTGCCTTCCACTAGGAATAGGATAGGCAAAATGTTAGATAGATTTTAACCAATTTATGATGCCTACAATAGGGGGAGACTAGACCCAGGGATCCAGGAGGTTCCATCTTGTTTTTATATCCCTAAAATGACACTGGTTCTTGTAAACAAAATAATTGCAAAATGAAGCTACCAGCTCTCCTTTAATTAATTCTTCATGTAAACCACGTTACTAATCCTAGTTTATGAAACCTTTGTTTGAATTTTGGATTGGTATTCCCATTTCCTCCTCACCATGATAAGGTACAGCATGCATAAACAGACTTAGCAGAAGGCTAGTTTCCCTTAACTTCAGCATCAGCTGGAATAAAGACTCAACAATATCAATCTCAGCAATGTAACATGCTCTTTGTATATAATAGATACTTATGTACACAAACCTTTGGGATTTTGACATTTAGATTCACTTGCCCTTAAAATAAGATTGATAGCCATAGGCTGCTCTTTTGAATACAAGCTCTTTGTCTATTTTTATAACAAGTTCTCAGGAAAGAATGCTTTTCTTACCTAGACATTTCTCTATTTAATGTTTTCATCCAATTGTGTTCCATTCTTTTTTGTGGAGTATGTAGCAAAACAGACTTTATCTTTTATAAGATAAAGTCAAGTGCATTGTAAAGACATAATGGGCCAAATTTATCCCTGGAGTAGCTCTTTTGAAAGTTCGTTCTCTTTTTACACCAAAGCCCTTGACCTCAGTGCTCTGAATTATTCCCATCTGCATCTAATTCTGTGACATCCATTTCCTTCATGTTTGCCCTTGAACACTGATAATGTTCACTGAGGGTAACTGAGATTAAAGCAACTTGTTCCATTAAAGAGACTCTGGAACAATTCATCCCTTAAATTTAAAGCAGTGTTGTAACATCAGTAATGAATTTGGCCATGTATGTCTTTTGGTAACAGATATAAGTAGTAAAAAAGAGCTATCTAAAGTACTGTGAATTTTTAGGTAAAAGCAGCATAAAGCATATCTTTTGCCCTTACAGGTTCTGTATACAATAAACTCAATGTATTTTACAACTTGCAATCAAGCTTCAGAATAAATTGTTGTGCTCAGGCACAGAGGATAAGAATTTAAGCAGTGAAAAGTGAATTTTAAGGGAGGAATTGCAGACTCAAATATAAAAGTGATTGGCATTGTATAAAATGCCTATGTAAGAATGAAGGTTTACCTACGGTTTTTCAGTCCGTGATGTCAGAAGATTGCCAAGGAGTCCCAGTTGGCAGTCCCCTCCTTTGCCCTTTAGAATCAATACTATTTTATAGCCCTAATTTGAGACTGATACATTGCCCTTAAAACAGTGCGATTACAATGTTGGTGTTTTGATCAAGCAAGTGTAAATTGTACTGCAATTTTAATAGACTGTAGACTTTGATTATATCAGCTTTATAGTATGGTTTGCTGTGAATTTAAACTATTATAATGTGAACTCTGTTGTTTCAGAACATTTGCTTATGGATGAAAGTGCATCTCACAGTCTTTTTTTACCAAGACAGATTTTAATTAATTCACTATGAAACTTGTCAATAAATATTGGTTACAAGGCATGTTATTTTAATATAAACAGAGAAAGTGTTCGAAGTTTTACAATATACCCCTACATCATCCTTTTACTAGCTGATACAGTGTTTTTTTCCCCCACAGTCAGCTAAGTAAAACTTGACATGCAGCATCATAAAAACTGTGCTTCTATTTAAATTGCTGGTTAAATAATATTGGCCAGCAATTATTCTAAAAATAATAGGGAAATTGTATTGGCAGAGGGGGATTTTTTTTTTATTTCTGTTTAAATTAAATTAAACAATGTAAAATCTGAATAAATCTACTGGAGATATATAAATAAGATTTCTTGCTTACAGCTTTCCTAAGTATTCACATAATGGGGAATTGATACTGTTGTGCCAGTTGAGTTAAAGCATTAAAATGTGCAGAACTATTGCACTTTTGACTGAAGTGTGAATGCACCTAGAACTGACACTCAGCAATTAGCAATTCTCAGTATTTCACTAACAGGTGAAGCCACTCTAGAGCAATTTCACATCTACTGACAATAGATTCTTTCCATCCATCCATTTACATTGGACTGATTCTCTGTACAGATGGTCATTCATAGAATCATAGAAAACTAGTGTTGGCAGGGACCTCAGGAGGTCATCTAGTCCAACTCCCTGCTCCAAGCAGGACCATTCCCAACTAGATCATCCCAGACAAGGCTTTGTTTAATCAGATCTTAAAAACAGCCAGGGAGGAAGAGTCTACAATCTCTCTGGGTAACCCATTCTTGTGTTTTACTACTCTCCTAGTGAGAAAATTCATCCTGATATTTAATCTAAACTTCCCTTGCTGCAACTTGAGACCATTGTTCCTTGTTCTGTCATCTGCCACCACTGAGAACAGTCTAGCTCTGTCCTCTTTTGAATTTCTCCTTCAGGTAGCTGTAGGTTGCTATTAAATCCCCTCTCACCCTTCTCTTCTCTTCTCCTCTCTAGACTAAATAAGCCCAGTTCCCTCAGCCTGTCCTCAAAAGTCACATGCCCCAGCCCCCTCACCATTTTTGTTGCCCTCCGCTGAACTCTCCAATTTGTCCACATCCTTTCTGTGGTGGGGGGCCATTGTGGTGTCAGGGATATAACAGGGACACAGGCAGTCAAGGCTTGACTCAAGAGGGTCACAGCTCAGGAGTTCAAGGACAGACAAGGTCAGGGCAGCAAAGATCCAAACTAGAGCAGGGAATCAGAAACCCACAGGTCAGGGGAATGAAGCCAGGAAGCCAAGAAGCAGAACCCAACAGGAAATCAGGAAAAAAAAACACAGGACCTGGGATGGGTTGGCAGCCTATCTAGCCCATAAAGGTCTGAGGCAATACAGGGGAATCAGTAGTACAAAACTGCACCATGTCACCCATTCCCTCCGTAGTGCTCCCCTCTGCAGCAGGGCCTGCTGCTCCGCTGCACCTGTTCTACCTTTGCTGCAGAGGAGTTAGGGGAACAATGGTGAGGGTAAATACAGGCAACTGTCTGCTCCAGGGGCTGGATACTTGTGGTTTTCACCTGGAGGTCAAGTAACAAAGGGCAGCCCATGTCAGGAAAGGTTAGGTTGGCCTAGGTCACAAAGAACAACAGGCAGGACCCAAGGACTAGGAAGTATAGGTAGGAACTGGGAAACTATGAACAAGGCATTCAAAGCTAGACAGAGAGGCATCTGGTGGGTAACCTGCTGTTTATAAGCAGGCATTCATGCCCATGCAGGCTATTGGGGCCACCTGGGGGTAGTTATAGACCACTCAGTAACCCAAGCCAGATGGCGGCAATTTAGCCTGCTTGCAACTCTGACTTCTTACACAAAGCCTTGTTTTGCAGCACACTGAAAATACCGAATCTATTACAGAAATTTAAGGGTGCCAAATCTTTAGCTCTGAATTTTAGAATTGTTTGGCTGACGGCAGGTTTTATAATGTTTTGTGGTCATATGGAAATTTTATGAAATGTTTCCTATAAAATGAATAACATCCCAGCAATCCAGAGGTGTTGCACAATTAAAAGTATGTGGGTTGCACTGTAATTGCTCACTAGAAGTTTAACTCCATGAGTTTCTGTCACTGCATACTGGATATAGTTTGCCTTATACAGTCAAAGCAGTTACCTACATCTGTGCTTATAGGCTAAAGCCATACCCTTGGTCAGCATGCTCAACTCCTACTCATATCCTGGGAAATTGCAGGCATTAATTGAGGTCCTGATATGAGCCTTACAACATGCTTTTAAATACAGAGTCAGTTTAATCATGTCCTGCTACAGTTGCATAGATGCTATTTACTATGATCAGTTGATTTGATATGCAAAAAGCAAAGAGCATCTATCCAGATCACTAACTCACACTGAGCTTGTGTCTATATATAGACCTGTGAATGTAGTTCTTGCTTGATGAATAATGCCATGGATGGCTGTGTACAGTAGTCATACCAAAATAAGCAAGCATTTATAATACAAATGTGCAGAAGCTTGTAAATGTGATTATCTGTAGCGTGTGCTATCTGTAGTGTGTGTGTTACATTAGAAAGAGCAGAGAGGACCTTATATTCCCATAAAAATTAGCAGAAGTTTTGTCTTTAACTGATAGAAGCCAGGTAGGAGCCACATATTGCAGGTTTGGTAAAGATATTTTAATGTTAGTATTACTGTACAGTCAAAGTCTCTGGTTACCCATCATTGTGGGATCTCAGTGTAAAATATCATTATCACCTTTAATCCATAGTTGAACAA